TAATGCAAGGCCGACAGACAAGTTCCTTACTTTCTCCCCCTTCAACTTTCCTCTTCCACTTTTGCGGTAAGGCTGCAATTATTTGGTTGTAATTTTGGGTAGAGCAGACATTTCCATATGTTTTTGTTAGCTGCATGTGCGACATAACTCCACCAGTCCTACCGATGATATCATTTACGAAGATTATGCCTTTTTTTAAACATTCTGTCAAAAAATAAAGTTTTTTTGTCAATTAGTATATTTGAATTTAACCACAATATTTGTTGCATTATTTGTTCTGTCGTTTCTGGAGGATTAAATTGAAATTGCAACCAACTTTCTATGGCTTGTTTTAGAAATAGTGACATTTGGGAGATTATTTCCTTTTCAAATAACTGAAAGTGAGAGGTTGTAATCTGAATAAAGGGAAAAAGGCCTTTCTTGAACAGTGGGTGAGACAATCTTACTAATTTGCTTGAGAACCAGTTCGGATTTAAGTATAACTTTTGGATGACTGAAGATTTTAGTGATAGGTCTAATGCTTTAATATTTAATCATTTCTGTCCTCCGAATTCATATTCATTATATAAATATGCTCTTTTAATTTTGTCTGGCTTGCCGTTCCAAATAAAATTGAATATTTTTTTCTCATATAATTTAAAAAACTGTTTGCTAGGCGTAGGCAAGACCAGTGGCTTCTTCCTTGCTGAGCGGCCTTTCAGGTTATGTCGATATAGGACTCGTTTTACTGTGGATATAGATAATTTTGTACCTGTTTCCTCCAGCATCTTCACAAGGTCCTTTGCTGTTGTTCTGGGATTGATTTGCACTTTCCGCACCAAAGTACGTTCATCTCTAGGAGACAGAACACTTCTCCTTCCTAAGCGGTATGACGGCTGCGTGGTCCCATGGTGTTTATACTTGCATACTATTGTTTGTACAGATGAACGTGGTACCTTCAGGCGTTTGGATATTGCTCCCAAGGATGAACCAGACTTGTGGAGGTCTACCATTTTTTTTCTGAGGTCTTGGCTGATTTCTTTTGAAATCAGTCAAGAGGCACTGAGTTTGAAGGCACTGAGTTTGAAGGCAGGCCTTGAAATACATCCACAGGTACACCTCCAATTGACTCAAATGATGTCAATTAGCCTATCAGAAGCATTTTCTGGAATTTTCCAAGCTGTTTAAAGGCACAGTCAACTTAGTGTATGTAAACTTCTAACCCACTGGAATTGTGATACAGTGAATTATGAGTGAAATAATCTGTCTGTAAACAATTGTAGGAAAAATTACTTGTGTCATGCACGAAGTAGATGTCCTAACCAACTTGCCAAAACCTATAGTTTGTTAACAAGACATTTGTGGAGTGGTTGAAAAACGAGTTTTATTTCAACTGTATAACACAATAAAATAATTTGACTTTTTGAAAATCAGTTGGTAACTTGCTTACCACTTTTTCCACACTTTGCCAAACAGTGTTGGTTTCCTGCCTTTGCTTTATAGGCTTTTTTGTAGAATTCTACCTGAGCCCTTAAGAGACAGTGGACTCAGCATCATCCATCACCATGATAAAATGAAATCGTCCTCCAGGTAATGAGATATAAAGCCTTGTTAAAAGTGACCAATAAGAGGATATTTTTCTCTACCTGAGAGCAGGACTTTCTTTGAGCATGTCCAAGGGGAACACATTGGCAATAAGAGTGTTTTTGAGCATGTCCAATGGGAATGAACACTTTGGCCATAGAAGAAAGTATCGATGTTTCATAGCCCTGGCTGTCTGTAATATGCTGCCTGCCAAACTCTAACTTTTCAGTCACATAAAGTTAAGTTCCATCTGAGTGGTCCAGGATTCAAAGGCCTGATCCTGCTTTCGTGTTTACCGTTTGAAAGGTTGTTTGGCTTGGTTATATGGAGGTGGATTGTTGATCAACAGAGCTATGGCAGCAATACTATGGGGATAATGAATATTTACATGGCTGTAGCTTGCTGGATCTAGCTATATGCTTAAGATATTCAACCACATCTCGGGGGTGAAAATGCAGTCAATAACAGGGATTTCTTTGTGATTAAAAACCAACATATTTCTGTAAAACGTTCACCATCAGGGCTCTCTATCCTTGCAGCAACCATATATCCAGGCAGGAAGCTATCCATTAGACAGACACACGCACGCCTCCTCGCTTGCACACCCGTCCACTAGAGCCACTAGAACTGATTACATCATTTTCGTCAGGCCAGACGGGCGACCCTGACATGTGTTCCAAATGGAAATATGAAATATGAAAATGCTTTTGGATGCAGTTAGCCCCTTAAGAATTCCCTTCTGTGAAGGCTCATAAAAATGAAATCACCACGAGACAGACACCTTGGATGGCATTTTTGGATTGATATTGGCAGAAATATAAGGTTTTACTGTTTCAGTCTGGCAGCTAAACGGTCGTTCCATTCAACCAAAAACCGAAAAGCCCAAATGACTCCAAAATCTGGAAACCCATTCATTCCATTTCGGAAAACTTTTCCCACCAAACAATGCAGAACATACTGGTATTATGATTATCAAATTTCAAGTTTTAATGTCACATGCACAAGTATAGTGCAATGCCTTTGTTGCGAGCTCTAAACCCAACAATGCAGTAATCAATAACAATGTAATACTACAAATATCCCAGTCATGGATGCAGTTCAAATGCCAAATGATACGTCTATTGAGTGAGGAAGGTCCCAAAACACTCAGCAACAATCAAAATCCACAGCTTGCAAAATGATTGTCTTTGTCTGCAAACATGATCCTGCTTATGTGTGGAGAGAAGAAGATGAGCTCTATGGAGAATCAGACTATGGCTTCAGCTTGGTTTCTGCCCAATCAAACTGCATACACAGTCAGTCAGTCTCCAAGACCAATTCATTCTCATGGTTAAAATAACCATGTGGAGAATAATCATGTGCTTCAAATGCATCATCACTGCAGCAACGGACCAATGACACAGTGAAGCACAGCTGTGAACAGGAAGGAACTCTCTCTTACCCTAACCTCTGATTGGTTTAGTCATTACTGCAGTGGACCATTGACATGCTGAAGCACAGCTGTGAACAGGATGGCCACAGTGCTTTAAATCAAGATGTATATTGAGAAACAATAGTCCCAGGGGACCTGCTCTGTCCTGTCCAATCACACGCCTATAGTATGGATGCGTTGTTTCCTATTCGGCAGAAAACCCCCAACAAGAACAGATACAACATTAGAATCCCCTGTGTCCTTGTGCCACCTAGCCACCTAACACAGTACAGTGTTTTGCTCTACTAGCCTTTAGTGTTGCTGGCCTGTGGTATTCGTGTGCCAGCGGTTAACTGTTTCATTTATAAAGGTAATAATACCCAAGAGTCAGGCAGCTCTGTTCCACTGCAGCCTGCAGCCCCCAGCACTGATACATAACAGTCATCACCTACTCTGTCTTACAGAACCCACTACTGTAACTAGAGCACAGATCACATACTGTACCGTGGATGGAACAGACTATGGGTTCAGATAGTATTTATTTTCTTCCAAGTACTTTGACCTATTCTTGATTGAGTTTACCTGATGCAATGGAATTGTCCCAAAAGTGCAAACCCCGCCCATCTCCATCACCTGCACTCCAGGTAGGCTCATCAAATGCTCAATGTATTTGAAAGAAAACACGAATACTACAAATACAGGTATGAATCACAAACAGAACCTTGAAACACTGCTCCTGAAATACATTCATTGTATGAATGCTATGCATTGTACAGGGATGTCCTTGCATGACATCTACACACTGATGCCATCACAATAGACAATAAACCATTAGGAATGTATATCTGTTACATCCTCCTCCTATTTATTCATTTTGATGTCAGATACACACACACCCCCCCCCCCCCCAAGTGCTTTATACACACCATAGCAGTCAAGGGAGGGAGGTACGCACATACACACGGAACAGCAGCTGAGAAGATATGAACAGAAGTGGGCCTGATTAGAAAATTGTTGAGTGAATTCACAGCCCTCACTGGTGTGACAACCATGCATGCAGTATCGCCCCATCACGTTGTTATTCATTGAACCACAACTAATTTACAAAATTAGTAGCAGAAAATGAAAGACCCCACATGCCATATTGGCAGGCACTGTAATTGTAAACATGTAGAAACCAATTTTGCAGTCCCATTGATTCCTGGGAATTTACTGTTCTCTGATACAGCTGCACTAGATTAAATGCTTCTGGGTTTTTAAATATTTTTGGACCAGAAAAACGTTAAATGGTCCAAAGCCTTGGACTTTTAATAGCTGAAGAGGACGGGGAAATTACCAGTTGCTCGTGGAGAGGACAGACTCCTCCTGAGAGTGATTAGAGATAAGAGAGTTGTGTTGTGTTGGAGATGTGGAGAGCGATCAAATGAGTTGACAGTTATGAAATGTTAAGAACTTTGTGTTTGGTGTGTGCATGTGTGTGTCTTGCGGTCTTGTGTCTAATGACTTCCTATGGTGTTGCAGTGTACCTACAGTTCCATACATCTGAAGGTACTATAGTTAATGATCTGTCTCTCATGCATGGATTTCTTTGAGTTGCACTCGTTGACAAACTCTCTCCACTGTAGGCATTATATCAAGCACCGGGCTAAAAGGTGAATTATGCACCTTGTGTTGCCATGGAGACCCGGAGAGACCGTCTGAAACTCTGCTGAATCTTTACAACAGCTTTTCTCTCAGACAAATACACGCTAGCTGTGTGATGGGAGTTTTGGACCACTTTTGTCATCGTTATAAAGTGTTTCCCTCTTTTGTTCCTACTTTTAAAAATGTTTTGTTCTGTCGCTCGGTCGGTGGGTGTACTAAATGATCCTGAAAGGGAGTGTTTCCTAGACAATGTGCCTCTGCTTCTGCTTGCTCTTTGAGGTCAGGGCGGATTATTGTAAAACTACTTAGTGACAACTGCTGATATAAAAAAGCATATTTGATTGATTCATTTGTCTCATCATAAATCCTATCTCCTCTCCAGAGACCAAACCGGCGTGCAGCTTCAACGGGTCGGAGTACCATGACGGAGACATGTTCCGAATGGACGCCTGCCGCTTCTGTCGATGTCAGGGAGGGGTGTCGGTGTGCTTCACCGCCCAGTGTGGCATCTTGCACTGTGAACGCTACTACGTCCCTGAGGGGGAGTGCTGTCCTGTCTGTGAAGGTATGACTTCCTCACCAAATGACTTCGCCCCTGACTAATCCCTCCCTGATTCCGTTCCTAAACAGTGACTATTATGGGATTTCTATATAATCCTATTCATCATGATCTGAAAGGCAAAACTGATCCTTTATCAGCACTCCTACTCTGACACAACTCTTTGTGAATACAGAGGGAGTCTGTGTCCTGAACTATTCCTTTAAAGGGAATCACCAAACCAAACCTCGTCCTTACTATTGTATGTATTCAGATCGTGATCAAGCCTATGACCAATGTTACCTTGGTTTCTAACATTCAGAGACGTGGCAACAGAAATGACAGTCTGCTGAGACCAAAGCATTTCATATCATCTCAAATTAGTGCCTGTGGTAAAGGGCGAGTGCAGAGCATCAATAAACATCAGGAGAGAGAAGAACTGAGGAGAACGCCAAACGTCTACACCGCCATGGCAATATCCAGCTGCACGCAATCAAAGGCTGAATGATGAGAGGGCTTAAACAGTCACTCAGTCAGTCGTCCCCCCTTCTGCTCATCACTCAACCTCTCTTTGAATGACTGTCTTTGGTTCAGGGACACACACAAACAGAGCGCACATGCACACACTCACACACACAGCTGTAAAAACACACTGACAGACGGGTAAGAAAGCTCCTTCACAACCTGAAGATAATTTTGCGTTAGCGCTTGTATTTAAGAATACATGAATGAATATAAAACTATATTCATGATGGTATCACATGTATTACAGTGTGACCTTGGAATCCATCAGACAATGAAGTATATTTTCAGAGCACCACATAAAATATTTTAAATTGCTGCTTTTTTCAGGGTTGGTGAGAGAAGATGTGAATGCTTTCAAAAGCCATTCTCAAGTTCACATGGCTTTCATCCCAACCTCAACCTTTAAACTATAACCTCTTTAGTCTTTTATCTTTATCAATGTGTTCTCTATCTCTTTTCCAGACCCCATCTACCCAGTGCTGAACTTTGCTGGTTGCTACGTGAACGGGGAGATCCTAGCACACGGAGACCACTGGCGTGAGGACGACTGTACGTTCTGCCAGTGTGTGAGCGGCGACGCCCGGTGTGTGGCCGCCGCCTGCGGGCACAGCTGCCTCAACCCTGTGACCGTACCAGGAGAGTGCTGCCCAGTGTGTGAGGGTAAGTGTGTATGTGTGTGTGTGTGTGTGTGTGTGTGAGGATAAGGAGAGCAACACACACCTCCACCCGACGTGCCCTCTCACCTCACCCTGTCTGTCTCTGTTTGTGTCTGTATCATTGCCACTGTCTGGCTGCATCTCCAGCTCTCTACTCTGTTGGTGTCTATTTACATCTCTCTTGCTAGCTGTGTCTGTTTCTATCTCTTTTTCTGTCTTACTTTCTCTCTGTCTCTATTTCTTGCCTCTTTCTCTCAGCTAAAGTCTCTCCCTTTGTCTGCTTCTCTATCTATCTCTCTCTTTCTCCCTCCACCTCACCCCCCCCCCTCTTTCTCTCTGCCATTGTGTACTGTTTTGTTTTATGTTTATTTGTATCCATCTGTGGACCTGTGTATTTGTTTGTATGTGTGTGTGTCTCTGTGGACAGACAGGGTCAGTGTCTGTGCCAATTCAAATGTTAACATCTTTGTTTATTCCTTGGTAAAAACCCAAACATCCGAGTCAGTAGTCATACAGTAGCAGTAGAACAGTACAGTAGTCTATGAGCAGCTCCAAATCAGCCCGGCTAGGGAAATATGCCTCTGAGGCTGAGCAGAATCACATCCTTTCAGTTAGCAGGTGTGTGGCTCGGCTTCACTACCGCTGGTGTCACGCAGCAGCAATCTGCATACAAACAGTGACAACACACACGCACAAGCACGCACACACACACACATACACAATCCTCAAACCTTCCTGGTGTTCTTTTTCCCTAACATTATGCACTGCTTTATTGAGTTATTTATTATGCACTGCTCAGAATACCACATTACTGTCTCCTCTATCCTCCCATGTATTTTTCAAATTGGTTTGGAAAGACCAGCTCGGTCTACACTGGGGACTAGGGCTGCGTCTTGTTGCTCGTTTGTCTGGTTAGTGGAAGCAGTGAGCTTAGTGGCTTACAGAATCATAATCTTTTATTAGGGAAGTCTGTAGTATGGATTTTTGCAAAGCTATCTGGGGATGTTGCTGTGTGTGTATATGTGAGGCTCTCTCTGGCTTCCTATCACTGATGAGATTACATCTAGGGTACAAGGGACTAGTCCAGTGTAGTATGCTGCCGGTTTCTATATTACACACACACACACACACACACACACACACACACACACACACACAGAGCAGATATTGGATTGATGGTACTGTAGGTGATGATCTTGGTTGATTATAATCTATTTTACCTTGGTAGCGAGGTACCACGGTTCTGGTACAGCATATTGCCTTATCTTATGAATAACCGGAACACTATATATGGACCTAGCACCGCATCAAATGGCCTGTTACCAAACGTGTATAGGAGTTAATCATAACCAGTCAAACCTTGGTAGGTGGAAGTCACGATGAAACAAAGCTTCAAGAGTTAGTAATTTCCTAAATCAGTGATGCTAGATACTGTATGGATACTTAGTTACAGCTTAGCATTGTTAGCTGCAAAACAATGAGTTGTAAGACCCCTTTTAGCGTTAGCACGCTCTACTGTAGCCTAGCATGCTTGACCTAGAAGATATTGATACAGTTGAAGTCGGAAGTTTACATACACTTAGGTTGGAGTCATTAAAACTTGTTTTTCAACCACTCCACAAATGTCTTGTTAACAAACTATAGTTTTGGCAAGTCGGTTAGGACATCTACTTTGTGCGTGACACAAGTAATTATTCCAACAATTGTTTACAGACAGATTATTTCACTTATAATTCAATGTATCACAATTCCAGTGGGTCAGAAGTTTACATACACTAAGTTGACTGTGCCTTTAAACAGCTTGGAAAATTCCAGAAAATTATGTAATGGCTTTAGAAGCTTCTGATAGGCTAATTGACATCATTTGAGTCAATTGGAGGTGTACCTGTGGATGTATTTCAAGGCCTGCCTTCAAACTCAGTGCCTCTTTGCTTGACATCGTGGAAAAATCAAAAGAAATCAGCCAAGACCTCAGAAAAAAAATGGTAGACCTCCACAAGTCTGGTTCATCCTTGGGAGCAATATCCAAACGCCTGAAGGTACCACGCTCATCTGTACAAACAATAGTATGCAAGTATAAACACCATGGGACCACACAGCCGTCATACCGCTTAGGAAGGAGAAGTGTTCTGTCTCCTAGAGATGAACGTACTTTGGTGCGAAAAGTGCAAATCAATCCCAGAACAACAGCAAAGGACCTTGTGAAGATGCTGGAGGAAACAGGTACAAAAGTATCTATATCCACAGTAAAACAAGTTCTATATCGACATAACCTGAAAGGCCGCTCAGCAAGGAAGAAGCCACTGCTCCAAAACCGCCATAAAAAAGCCTGAAACAAAAACTGTTTGGCCATAATGACCATCGTTATGTTTGGAGGAAAAAGGGGGCAGCTTGCAAGCCGAAGAACACCATCCCAACCGTGAAGCACGGGGGTGGCAACATTATGCTGTGGGGGTGCTTTGCTGCAGGAGGGACTGGTGCACTTCACAAAATAGATGCCATCATGAGGAAGGAAAATTATGTAAGATATATTGAAGCAACATCTCAAGACATCAGTCAGGAAGTTCAAGCTTGGTCGCAAATGGGTCTTCCAAATGGACAATGACCCCAAGCATACTTCCAAACTGAAAAAGCGTGTGCGAGCAAGGAGGCCTACAAACCTGACTCAGTTACACCAGCTCTGTCAGGAGGAATGGGCCAAAATTCACCCTACTTATTGTGGGAAGCTTGTGGAAGGCTACCCGAAACGTTTGACCAAAGTTAAACAATTTAAATGGAATGCTACCAAATACTAATTGAGTGTATGTAAACTTCTGACCCACTGGGAATGTGATGAAAGAAATAAAAGCTGAAATAAATCATTCTCTCTACTATTATTCTGACATTTCACATTCTTAAAATAAAGTGGTGATCCTAACTGACCTAAGACAGGGAATTTTTACTAGGATTAAATGTCAGGAATTGTGAAAAACTGAGTTTAAATGTATCTGGCTAAGGTGTATGTAAACTACCGACTTCAGCTTTATATCTGGGGTAATGAATAGTATTTGTATTTAAAGGAGTTGGACTCTATCATGCAGTCAGTAAGTGGATGGATGATCTGACAGGGACAGCCAGGGGACTTGGTAAATTAACCTCATATCACCTCAGATTCATATTTCCCCTCATGGGTTCTTACTCCACTTCTCCCTCCAATTAAACAGTACACTATCAGACTATCAAAGCATTTTAAAACACAATCAATGAATAACAAGTAATTGGAAACAACATTATACATTACAAGCTCAACCCAGGGAATTAGTGGTGAGTTTTGTTTTCTAATCAGGATGCAAAGATCTCCAATTAGGTAGCTAGTTCCACTGGCCTGGGGTCATTTCCACCCGTAAATATTCTCTAATGTGGACCTGGGTTGGGAAGGAGGGAAGGGGGAGGGAGGGAGGGAGGGAGGGAGGGAGAGAGAGAGAGAGAAGAGAGAGAGAGGGAGTTTAGATGGATAGATGAATAAAGGGATGGATAGAGGGATGGATGGATGGATTGATGGAGGGTGAGGGAGAGAGGGTGGATGCATCCTGACTGAGCACAGGAAGGACGAGGAGAGTAGAGGGCAGTGGACCATGCCATGTCTCAATGCCTGCAGGCTTCTTTACCTCTGCCCCATTGTGGGCAGAACCCTGGCCGCTCACGCTCAACCCCCACCTCCACCCCCTTCCATTCATCTTTTATGCGCCTGTCCGACTCTGAAGCAATTATGCGTGTTTGAGTGACCGAGCCTCAAACCTAGGGAGAGAGAGGCAGGTAGGGTGTGGAGGTAGGATGCATCCCTCAGTCCTCCCACGCTAACCCAACCGTCACACTCCTGGCCATGCACCCTGAATGGTAATATTAATAATAACAGATTATGTGTATTTATGTTTTTATAGACCGTATAACTGGAGCATCTGTATTATGTAAAATAGGTGCAATAAGCACAACATTGTTCACTCACTGCTATTCTACACAGAAGGATATTTGTGTTGCTGATAGTGATTTTGTGTGTGTTCTGTCCTCCTCATCAGGGTTTCCAGGGTTTTTCAGATCAAAGCAGAGATAGATGGGTATAGATATGATTCCCTTCTTTGATATGCTCGTGCTCACACACTTTTACAGCCATTACATTTACTGATAGGGGAATTGAATCTCTATGGGGCATCATGTTTTTACTCACTGGGCTAGGCTTGGCTTTGATTTACTTCAATTTCAACAGTGGCTGGAGAGAGACTGGAACAGATTGGAACAGATTGCAACATGTGATTTCTCCCAAACACCTATTCATATTTGTATTCCATTCATGGATGGGATGAGTTTTTGTATGATACTGTAAGATGGGTTTGACAACGTCACTATAGGAGAAATTGACCATTGTGTCTTGGTGGGGGATGAGAGAGATACTCTGAGAGCAATATGACAGTGAGCAGCAGAGTTTAATGCATGCCCTGACATCGTTATCCCACTAATGACCTTGCTCTGCCTCCTTAACAAAGACTCCTGACATTGGTGATGTGCAGATAGCTACCCTTTATAGAAAACCCCCGCAGCTCACTGGTTATGACCTCAACCAGATTTCCCTGGCATGTAGAATCCTCTGAGAAACAATCAATGGGATTGTCTCATCTATTTGCCATATCAAATATTACTCTAACACTATTACAATGGTTGTTTTGATTGATTTACACCAAGATAGTCACCATCTTGCAGTGTGGAGGTTGCAGTAGTACAGTACGTTGCCTGTTAGAGCCCGTCAACTTTAAACCTGAGGGGAGGTCAGTCAGTGTGAGCTGTGTTGTCATTGCCATGTATTGCGTGTGTACTGGGTCTGGTCCTCTGTGTGTACTGGGCCTCTGGGAACACCAGGTAAACACAAGCCAGGTCCTGCCACTGTCACCCCTGCCCTTGTCCCTCCCAGGCAGTACACACACACACAAACACACACACACACACACACACACACACACACACACACACACACACCACACACACACACACACACACACACACACACACACACACACACACACACACACACACACACACACACACACACACACACACACACACTCACACACACACCCCTGCCCTTGTCCCAGCGGCCCCAGGGCACACGGCCCTCTGCTCCCGGCAGCTTAATTTAGCTCCCCCACAGCCAGGCCAGCGCTTTATGCATTTTTATTTCCTAATTATTATTTGTTAGGAGAGCTCGTTTCCTCAAGGTGACACCCCCTCTCTGTCAGGGTGGTTATTGTGCCAGACACACTGTGTGTAATTAAGCAAATCAAGGCTGTCACATTGGAATGAAGCCCTCTGGAGGCCTCTGCCATGCTTAATGTTTAATGCTACATAACTCACCTACACCGGGGATACAGAGCGGGGAAGGGGGAGGGGGAGGGGGGGTTGCTTTGTGTGCATTTGTGTTTTGTTACTGTTTGTGTGTATGGTCTATTTGGCGATGCATTAGTTTTTTTGCCTTGAATTGCCATGTCCCGGCTACTGTAACTACCAGGCTGTTTTGAGCCTGCCCACCAGTTGTTTGTTAACAGGGATACCTTGTTTTAGCCCTAGGTTGTAGCAAGTTAATGAAATCAGAGCGAGAGAGCTCATTCTTAATTCATAATATCTATAAGTCCTGAAATAAAGACATGGAGGCGTTCAACAGAGACAAATAACCTTGAGGGGAAAGCAGATGGGAAAAGAACATTGTGTCATTTTGTTACTTTTATCTGATGGGACTTAATTAAATTCACACCTCCAGAATAATTGGTACTGCACTGTTTTCAGACAGACCTACTCTCCTCCCCTACCTGGCCATTTTGTGTTTACCAGGAATTAATTCATCACAAAGTGACCCCAACACATTTGTTTGCCTTTGTTTAATGAAATGTCCTTATAGGCTTCTATTTATTTTGTTTTAAATGGTTTCCAATAGATTTAGCATTGTCTATGCATTATTAGCATTGTCACTATGTTTTCTTTCTACTACTATGTTTATGTTGTGCATTATTACATTCATAGTCTCTTGTGACAGACTAGACTGGCCAGCGTACACGTGATTTGCATTCATGATAAGATAGCCTACTTCAGAGAGAAGCTGCAGTTAGTCACTGGTGTCTCCTCTGACCTTGACTGTCCTGTCCTCCCCCTACCTCCTCCTGGCCACCTCCACCTGTCCTCCTCCCCTACCTCCTCCTGGCCACCTCCACCTGTCCTCCTCCCCACCTCCACCTATCATCCTTGCCACCTCCACCTGTCCTCCTCCCCACCTCCACCTATCATCCTTCCCACCTCCTCCTCCTCTCCACCTCCTCTTCCTCCTCCCTTCCTCCTTCTCTTATCCTACTCCCCATCTTCCTTCTCCTGTCCTACTTCCCACCTCCTCCTATCTTCCTCCTCTTCCTCCCCTTCCTGGTCTGGTCTCCTCTTCAACCCTGGTACAACCCTCCTCATATTTATCATCACAGAACAGCACTGGTCCTGGCTCCCTCCTCAGCAGAGAGGAGCCACATGCAGCAGATAGCAGCCAGCCAGCCAGGCATGGTGACAAGCATCAGGGAGGAATTTTTCAAAGCTGTCTTAACTAAACCGTGTGCTGGTGTCCATGACTGTGAAATATGGCCAGCTAACGGCCTACGATATGATATTAAGTGCTCTATAATCTTTTAATGGATTCAAACAAACTGAACTGAAATGCAGACACCTCAATGTGAAGAGATATGCGAATGTAATATACATTAGATGGAGGAGTGGAGGAGTCAGGTCACAGAGGTCAGTTGGTCGTGCCTTTATACAGGATATTATAGTAGCTGTCAGGTTTTTTCAACTATTGTTCTGTGATATTTACCCACATTAATGGAAGATAGGTGTGGGTTTGTGGAGAAATTGCTTTTGACTCTGATGGCTCCTATTAGTCATAATGCCAGAACAAAGCTGTGTGTGTGTGTGTGTGCGCGCGCGCACGTGTGCGTCGTATTTGTGTGTTGAGTGACGTTACTCAGTCGACTTACCGTCCAAAATGTTGTGTGTGATTTTTTTGGTTCCTACAGAGCCCACCTACATCACGATGGCGCCCCCTACCTGTCAGTCATTAGAGAACTGCTCCCTGTCAGAGAAGGACTGCTTATACGGCTTCCGACTGAACCTGAAAAGCTGTCGCACCTGCCACTGCAAGACACGTGAGTACTGGGCCATATTCATTAGGGCACACAGCGGAATACGTTTTAAAACTTCCAATGTAAAACGAAAGTGTGCGTTTCTTATTGGACAAATCCAGGATGGTACCTCCTTGTTTCAGTCCATTTTCTTCCGTTTGGTTCACGACCGTGGTTTGGTCTGACGTCTCGGTCAGTCAAGCCTGTTTTGCAATATGTCTATTATTTCCTCTGACCGGATTGGTTTATACAGAGGACAGAACTCGCCCTGGGCCAATGACATTGAGACATTGTTCTCTGGTGTTCTCTCTCTCCTTACTGACTGTCTGACTGTTGATATGACTTTACCTGTCTGGGACGTAATCAGACATGGATTAAAGGAACACAGACGGCAGACTGAGACATCTTGAAAGGGCTTTTAAAAACAAATATGTTAATGTCCATGCCTGTCAGAAAAGAGCATTATCATAAGTCATGACTTCTGAGTTTCAAAAACAATTCCTCATTTTGAGTATCTCTCAATGAAGACATATTGATGTATAAATTAGCTTAATGCACCTTTAAGTCATTGCCACAGATCATAATAGAATAAGTGGACTTTTAGAACTATTAAATTACAGTTAAGTTTTGGCTATAAACTGATGTCTGATGTGTTTCTGTCTGTGTCCTCCCTACAGGAGAAGAGCTGTGCAGTGCCCTGATCTCTGACTGTACCCTGAAGTGCCCCTTCGGCCTGCAGACAGATGCCCACGGCTGTGACGTATGCCAGTGTCGCCCCAGGCCAAAGAAGTGCAAGGCTGTTGTTTGTGACAAGGCCTGCCCCTTCGGATTCATGTGAGAAAGCACTTCTCTCTCTTCCTCCCTCCCTCCCTCCCTCCCTCCCTCCCTCCCTCCCTCCCTCCCTTGCTCTGTCCATCGCTACCTCCCCATATACCCCTTCTTCCTGCTCCTTCCCTCCCTCCGTCTCTCACCCTCCATGCTTCTACCTCCATCCTTCTCTCCCTTCATCTCCCCCTGTCTTTACCGACAGTCTACCCACTCAGACACGCTTAATAACAAACATGATGATTCTCCGCTCTCACACAATTATCATATAGTTTTCACTCCAGCGCTCCACGCTTTGAAATATGAAGCGATTTAAAATCTGCATAGTTTCAGAATAAATTATGCCTACTTTGCCAGTCACTTTCAGCTGTTATAAAGCAGTAGAACTTCACAGAGACAGACAGACTGACATATGGTCAATTTTAATTGAAATCGCGGCTCCTTCAAACTTATGTCACAAAATATGTGGTCCTCTGTAGCTCAATTGGTAGAGCATGGCGCTTGTAACGCCAGGGTAGTGGGTTCGATCCCCGGGACCACCCATATGTAAAAATGTATGCGCACATGACTGTAAGTCGCTTTGGATAAAAGCGTCTGCTAAATGGCATATTATATAATTATTATATTAATTACCCTTGGTTACATGCTTTGCCTGTTATGCTTAAGTGAGTTTTGCTCGTAAACTGACAAAATTATAGCTTTTTCCTTCGCCACAACTCATTTTGGCTAAACAGGCATTGCATGTGGAGTTGACATTTGAATTAGCTTCACCCAGGTTACTGATTGGGTTTGCTGTGTTGCTGTTGCGCTTGGTAAAGGATGGCCTCTGATAGTGAAACTGAAGGGCTAATCTTCTAACAGGATGTTATTTTAGCTTCTCCAAATGCATCTGGCCACTAGTACCCTGCTTGTAGGCTCACCACACCGCACCCCTCCCCGAATACATGGATTGCCATTCACACAGAGGTACATCAGTAATAAGTCATTTATTACAGCTTTCACTAGGGAATCTTGTCTGCAGGTTAAGAAGGTATGCACACAGTCCTGGCACACACACACATGCTCATACCTCCTACGCTTGCTGTGCATTAAAACTCATGTGTAGAGTTATAAAACAAAAGCTTTCATATACAGCACATGAACAATTACAGCACATGCCCAACAGCCATACCACGTTCTGATTAGATTAGTCTGAAATGACCAATAACGAAAACATTATAATGTGACTCAATCTCAGGCTCCATTTGATGAGCTTGTTAATATATAATCCCCCCCCACATCAGCTCAACTGATTTATAACATTACCATAGTTGGAGAAGCAGATAATGTGTGTCAGCGGTTCAGAATGGTTCAGGAGATGTGTCTAACTCACTACCGGCCCCCTAAGGCTCCTTTACTCCCGGCCAAGTTAAAAGGTACAATCTGCAATAGTTACTAATGTTAAATGGTCATTTCAATTAATGATATATTTACTCTTGAAGAATGTAACTTATTAATTCCTCAAGAGCTCATAGTACAACTGTTTTACCCCATAATAACCCAAAATATAAAGTTGTTTCACGGCATAGATTTATAGCGGGGCTGCTGTTTTGCTGAAACACTCATTACAGTTTGTGACTTTAAAGGGGAAATCTGCAGTTACTACATCTATTTTTGGACAAAAAATTATGAGATATACCCTTTGATTCTTGAAGAATATAACTTCATGAGCTTAGTTCAACTGTTCAACTGTCGTATACCATCAAAACCCAAAATATAAGATTGCTTTACTCCAATGTTTCAAAACAAAGTAAATTGGATGACCGGATGACCGCTTTGTTTCAACTGCCCCTTTAATGGCTGCTTCCCCCAGTCCCTTGTAGTAATAGTAGTGGACCTTCTCTTTCATAGCAGCTTTTCTATTGGGCAGCTAGCAGCTTTTCTATAAGGCCCCGGGGAGGCCGGTCCACCTGCACTATAATCCATCTGCCCTGTATCTTAACTGTGGTGTGGACCAACCAGCCAGCTGGCCTGCTAGGAATTATTATGACAGAATAGTTATGGATATGACAGAGAGTAAAACGCTTAGGCGGCAGGCGGTGTCCTGTCCACACATTTACCTTCTTATCATAAACTAAACTCTCCCTCAACAATGGTCTGTCATACAGTAAAGGTGTTACTCGACTGGTCTGTGCCTGCATTGAACCAATGGTCTCTCTCTCTCTCTCTATCTCTCTCTCTCTCTCTCTCTCTCTCTCTCTCTCTCTCTCCTCTCTCTCTCTCTCTCTCTCTCTCTCTCTCTCTCTCTCTCTCTCTCTCTCTCTGTCTCATGAATGAGTGTGCACGGCGTGAATGCTTGCATCTAAGATTCTAATTTTAGATATCTATTTATGCGCCGTCAAAGTTATAGCTTACACCCTCTGTTCGAGCAGCAAAGTGTTTAGTTTGAATAATTCAACGGGCCGCCGTCTCCTCTCCGTACAGACTCTATTGATATTCCCCACAACTGAAATGGCCCTTGATAGCTCCTTATCACCAAACCAAATGTGGATTGTACATGGCCGTTCCTCCTCGCACCTATTATTCATGACAGTGGGCAGGAGAGGGAGGAGGATGGAAGGAGGAGAGGGAGGAGGATGGAAGGAGGAGAGGGAGGAGGATGGAAGGAGGAGAGGGAGAGAGGGAGGAGGATGGAAGGAGAAGAGGGAGGGATGAAGAGGGGAGGATGGTGGGATAGAGGAGGGGAGGATGGTGGAGCTGGATGGGATAGGGGGGATTTGGAACGATAATTTTTATTTAGGAAAGGAAAGGTGCCCTGCTCTGTCTGGTCAGAGCAGCGAGCCACAGAGCGAAGCGTTTGTTTGATACGTCCCAATGGTCAGTCATATGTGCCATCTGTTGACACGAGTGTGCACACACACAACCCCTCTTTATCGCTGTCCTTGTTTTAACTGATGACATTGGTAATGCTTGTCATTGGCACCTTGCTGGAACGTACACACTGCCTGTCTCTGATATGCAAATGTTTGTGTGGCTGTTTGCTATGTGTTTACCTCTCTATGCAATGACAAAAATCTAACTGATGAAACAGATACTACGGCAAACAAACTTTTGCTGTTGTAAACTAAAGCATGTCACACAAACAAACACAATGGCAAACTAAAAGTTTGACGGGTGTCGTCATCTGTAATCAGTGCTATTGAGTTATTGAGGTGAGAGATGAAACCATCGTAGTCTAATATTCTCACTTTCACTATAGATAACAAATGTAATAAAAAATTGAAACAGGGACACAGTGAATAACAATAACAAGTAAAAGTAACAAGACTATATACAGGGAGTACCCGTACCGAGTCCATGTGCAGGGGTACGAGTGTGTGTGGCGTCAGTATGCATGTGTGCGCATGCTATGTGTGTGTGAGCGTATGTAGTGTGTGTGTGTATGTGTGTGTTGGGATGTCAGTGTAAGTATGTAGGGTCAATGCATGTAGTCCGGGTAGCCATTTGATTAGCTATTTTCCAGTCTTATTTAGTAGTATTATGGCTTGGGGGTAGAAACTGTTCAAGGTCCTGTTGGTTCCAGACTTGGTGTACTGGTATCGCTTGTCGTGCGGTAGCAGAGAGAACAGTCTATGGCTTGGGTGGCTGGAGTCTTTGCCAATTCTTTGGGCCTTCCTCTGACACTGCCTGGGGTAGAGGTCCTGGATGGCAGGGAGTTCGGCCCCAGTGATGTACTGGGCCATACTCACCACCCTCTGTAGCGCCTTGCGGTCGGGTGCCCTGCAGTTGCCGCACCAAGCGGTGATGCAGCCAGTCAAGATGTTCTCAATGATGCAGCTGTATAAAAAATGTCAGCCTCCTGAGGGGGAAGAGGCGCTGACGTGCCCTCTTCCCAACTGTGTGGGTGTGTGTGTGGACCATGTTAATTCCTTAGTGATGTGGACACCGAGGAACTTGAAGCTCTCGACCCGCTCCACTACAGCCCCATCGATGTGAATGGGGGCATGCTCGCCCCTCTGTTTCCTGTAGTCCACGACCAGCTCCTTTGTCTTACTGACATTGAGGGAGAGGTTGTGGTCCTGGCACCACACTGCCAGGTCTCTGACCTCCTCCCTGTAGGCTGTCTCATCGTCATCGGTGATCAGTCCTACCACCATCGTGTCGTCAGCAAACTTGATAATGGTGTTGGAGTCGTGTGCGGCCATGCAGTCCTGGGTAAACAGGGAGTACAGGAGGAGACTAAGCACACACCCAAGGGGCCCCCGTGTTGATGGTTAGCATGACAATGTGTTTTTGCCTACCCTCACCGCCTGGGGGCGGCCCGTCAGGAAGTCCAGGATCCTCACTGCAACACCCACCGAGATGGCCATTTTGACCACCCTCAGGGCTGTGATCTATAACCAGCAATGCTTCGCCTAGCCATGCTAGCTTTGTCCAGAGTGGCTTGTAATGTGGTTGCTAGCAAGCCAACAGCATGCTAGGTAGTGATAGGTATCAACAGCCAATCCAGTAGGGGCTGGAAGCTATAGTGCGCTTCGATTGGTCTATTGCGCCGCGATATTGCTGAGTATTTGTATAAAGTTCAGCTTTCAGCTTTTCGCCCTGTTCACGCTCCCACGATATGTTCGCATCGCCCCACGGTCCCCCGGTCACTTCGCTTCTCATCGCTTTTCTTCCATTGAAAATGAATGGCCATTGTTGTTTTATCACCTGACATCATCCCTAGTGGACATGGGCCATCACACTCAGCAAAGGTGGATTTTATAGGCTATCCATTTCAGATACTGTAGCATACAGTGGGGGAAAAAAGTATTTAGTCAGCCACCAATTGTGCAAGTTCTCCCACTTAAAAAGATGAGAGAGGCCTGTAATTTTCATCATAGGTACACGTCAACTATGACAGACAAATTGAGAAAAAAAAATCCTGAAAATCACATTGTAGGATTTTTTATGAATTTATTTGCAAATTATGGTGGAAAATAAGTATTTGGTCACCTACAAACAAGCAAGCTTTCTGGCTCTCACAGACCTGTAACTTCTTCTTTAAGAGGCTCCTCTGTCCTCCACTCGTTACCTGTATTAATGGCACCTGTTTGAACTTGTTATCAGTATAAAAGACACCTGTCCACAACCTCAAACAGTCACACTCCAAACTCCACTATGGCCAAGACCAAAGAGCTGTCAAAGGACACCAGAAACAAAATTGTAGACCTGCACCAGGCTGGGAAGACTGAATCTGCAATAGGTAAGCAGCTTGGTTTGAAGAAATCAACTGTGGGAGCAATTATTAGGAAATGGAAGACATACAAGACCACTGATAATCTCCCTCGATCTGGGGCTCCACGCAAGATCTCACCCCGTGGGGTCAAAATGATCACAAGAACGGTGAGCAAAAATCCCAGAACCACACGGGGGGACCTAGTGAATGACCTGCAGAGAGCTGGGACCAAAGTAACAAAGCCTACCATCAGTAACACACTACGCCGCCAGGGACTCAAATCCTGCAGTGCCAGACGTGTCCCCCTGCTTAAGCCAGTACATGTCTAGGCCCGTCTGAAGTTTGCTAGAGTGCATTTGGATGATCCAGAAGAGGATTGGGAGAATGTCATATGGTCAGAAGAAACCAAAATATAACTTTTTGGTATAAACTCAACTCGTCGTGTTTGGAGGACAAAGAATGCTGAGTTGCATCCAAAGAACACCATACCTACTGTGAAGCATGGGGATGGAAACATCATGCTTTGGGGCTGTTTTTCTGCAAAGGGACCAGGACGACTGATCCGTGTAAAGGAAAGAATGAATGGGGCCATGTATCGTGAGATTTTGAGTGAAAACCTCCTTCCATCAGCAAGGGCATTGAAGATGAAACGTGGCTGGGTCTTTCAGCATGACAATGATCCCAAACACACCGCCCGGGCAACGAAGGAGTGGCTTCGTAAGAAGCATTTCAAGGTCCTGGAGTGGCCTAGCCAGTCTCCAGATCTCAACCCCATAGAAAATCTTTGGAGGGAGTTGAAAGTCCGTGTTGCCCAGCGACAGCCCCAAAACATCACTGCTCTAGAGGAGATCTGCATGGAGGAATGGGCCAAAATACCAGCAACAGTGTGTGAAAACCTTGTGAAGACTTACAGAAAACGTTTGACCTGTGTCATTGCCAACAAAGGGTATATAACAAAGTATTGAGAAACTTTTGTTATTGACCAAATACTTATTTTCCACCATAATTTGCAAATAAATTCATAAAAAATCCTACAATGTGATTTTCAGGATTTTTTTTTCTCAATTTGTCTGTCATAGTTGACGTGTACCTATGATGAAAATTACAGGCCTCTCTCATCTTTTTAAGTTGGAGAACTTGCACAATTGGTGGCTGACTAAATACTTTTTTCCCCACTGTATATACTGGACCTATATTTTCTAACCTTATGAATAAGTAATGTTAACCTCTCTCTCTCTTTCGCTCTCTCTCCCTCTCTCTCTTCCTCTCTCTCTTCCTCTCTACCCCCATCAGAAAGAACAAGCATGGTTGTGATATCTGCCGCTGTAAGAAGTGTCCAGAGTTACCTTGTGACAAAGCCTGTCCAATGGGCTTCCAGCAGGACGAGTTGGGCTGTCTGAAGTGCCAGTGCAGAGGTGAGTGCCATCTATTGAGAACCTTTGATACTTACGCATTCATCATTTAGATGCTGCTAATAATGATTATTTTCTCCAAACTCTCTCCTCTCTTTCCCCTGTCAGACTTGGAGAACCACTACCAGTACCTAAACTTTCTAACTATTCTGCTGTTTTCCTGTTTCACATATTACACCCATAGAGAGTTGTCTGGAGTAGTCTCGTGCTGCCAGACAGGCCATCTGGTTATTCTTTTTGTTCTCATCATAGTCAGCTACCTTCACCATCAGAAAGAACCAAACTTTTGTCGACTTTTGTTTTGATAGATGTTGAGGGCATAGAATATGACTAAGGATGTGTCCTGAAAGGCACCCTATTCCCTTTAAAGTGTACTAGTTTTGATGGGCCCTGGTCAAAAGTAGTATACTATATAGGGAATAGGGTACCATTAGGGATATATTGTTACATTTTTGGTCTTTTTTTAAGGCCAACTGTTGGTGCAACCAGATGGCAGGCCGGGGTCAACTCCTCCACACAGATGTTTTATTGATACTCCTCTTGTGTTCTGCTATGATTTGCACTAAATAATGAACTCCCTGTGAAATATTAATGAATGAGGGTCCAAAACACATTCTCTTTTGAATTGGTAAAATTGGGCATCTGTCCCCATATGGCTCAGAATCTCAGACAGGATTTTAATCAAGGTGATTTTTTCTCTCCATGATAATGATCTGATCCTGGTTGGCCCAAGATCCTGTAAGCCAGTCAGTGATTGGTTGGCCCCTGCTACAGTAAGCCAGTCAGTGATTGGTCCGCCTAAAACTGTACACCTGTCAACTAGAAAAAAGGGTTCCAAAGGGGTTCTTCAGCTGTCTACCTGGAATCATAAATGGTTCTTCAAAGGGTTCTCCTATGGGGACAGTCAAATAACCCTTTTAGGTTCTAGATAGCACCTTTTATTCTAAGAGTGTACTTTACAGTGTAAGGGTTTGGGTTATGCTGGTAGTTGTATCTCTAAAACTTGTCTTCCAGACCAGAGCTCCTCGTCAGTCGCCCCTTCAGTGAAAATGGGTTCATGTCTGTCCATGGATGGAAGACAGCACGAGAACGGGGAGAACTGGCATGATGGCTGCCGGGATTGTTACTGCCACAGTGGCAGGGAGATGTGTACCCTCATCTCGTGCCCCGTACCAGCCTGCGACAGCCCTGCCATATGGGATGGACAGTGCTGCCCATCCTGCCCAGGTAAGGAACCTAAACCTAATGAAATAAGGAAGAAACTGTGCACTGGTAGTAGGCTATTCTTAGATAGGCTAGTTGGTGTGTATACCTGAAATCATTTACATTTACATTTACATAATTTAGCAGACGCTCTTATCCAGAGCAACTTACAAATTGGTGCATTCAACTTATAGCCAGTGGGACAACCACTTTTCTTAATTTTTGTTTATGGGGGGGTGGGGGAGGGTGGGGGGTAAACAACCTAAGCTGAAATTCTTCAAAAAAAGATATTGCCCATTTTCCCATCCTCTTCATTGTGTCATAGTAGATACTGTTCATAATACAGTACACACTAATGAAAAAGCTGTTTCCAATATGTTTCACCTTTGACCCTGTGCTCACTCTTCCGTTCTCCTCCCTCAGAGGAGCCTAGCTCCCACAAGCCAGACCTGGGAGACTCGTCAGTGTGTCTGGCCCCGGGGGGAGAGTACTTTGTGGAGGGGGAGACGTGGAACATCGACGCCTGCACCCAGTGCACCTGTCACAGTGGGCGTGTCCTGTGTGAGACAGAGGTGTGCCCGCCCCTGCTCTGCCAGAGCCCAATCAGAACGCAAGACTCCTGCTGCCCCCACTGCCCAGGTGAGTTTGAGTAGCCATTTGTTACTCGAGTTGGCTTTGAAACACTATGGGTCTTTGAGTCTCTATATACAGAGTCTGTGTGGCAAGTATAGTATGGTTTTATAATAGAGAACGGCAGCCTTATCATTATGCTTAAACGCAGCCTAAGCCCTAAGCCGTATATAAAAGGTAGTGATGAATGTGAAGGGGGATAGTGTCTCAAGATTGTCTTGACTGAGCTGAGGTCCTAAAGTAAATTATAGCTGCACAGACCTGGCATTGGGAGAGATGCTATTAATAATGTTTACTATTTGCCTTGGCTCTATTTCCAATACAACAATACGGCTGCACAACAATAGTATGCCTGGCATAACAAACTAGAGAGGGATGGCCAGATGTTTATGCCAGAGAGAGAGAGAGAGAGACACTGGGAGAGGGAGAGAGGGAGAGGAGAGAGTAGAGAGAGGAGAGAGGAGAGAGAGACGAGGAGAGATGACACTGGGAGAGGGAGGGGAGAGAGGGAGTCTTTCGGATCTGGGGAGAGACACTACCAGTTGGAGAGGGCGAGATGGGAGAAGAGCCAGAGAGGAAGAGGAGGGGAGAGAGCAGGGAGAGAGGAGAGCGGAGAAGAGAGAGACGGAGAGAATGAGAGAGAGAGAGAGAGAGAGAGAGAGAGAGAGCACAAATAGTTTTTTTCTGACGGTAAACAGCTGAAAGAAAAACACAGATTGGAGCCCAGAATCAAACTCTGTAGAGAGAGAGCGAGGAAAAACAAGAAGAATGTGCATAATGCATAAGTTATGGAACTCTAGACATGAATAGTGCATGAGAAAATGGAGACATAGCAAACCAAACCAAACGTGAAACAGACAGCGTTGCTTTGGGCCTCTGTCACAGTAAAACAGTGTAACAGCACAGAGATGCCTGGAAGGCCACCAACTCAACTTTCACATGGATATTTTTGTTTGTTTCCATCTCTTAAAGATGCACTATGCAGAAATCACTCCGCATTTCTTGGTTGCTAAAATTCTAATAGTTTGCCTAATTTCAGTTTATTTGACAAAACAAGGATAGTGTAGAGAATCATTGTACCATCTAAACCACTGTGAAATATATTTTCCATAACCACAAATATTGTATTTTCAGCTGTTTGAAGCTGGTGTACAAAACCGAAAGTAAAAGATGTAAAAACAAAACTTAAGAATGGGATGTATAGAAATAGTACACATAGAACAGATATACCACTTCTTAGACTTGCTTTCAATGAGAATGACAGATCTATAACTTACATTTCTAGGTGAATTTGGTCAGGTTGCCCAAAAAGTTACATATTGCAACTTTAAGCTGTTTGTTTGAGATGTTTTAGCTGAATAAACCAAAGACGCGAAGATGAACATTCTACCACTTGAATGTCATCAATATTTTAAGCCCTGGAATCCAACTCATGTATTCTTGTCAGATGAGCCCGTTCTTCGCTGCTCTGTTGGATTCCAAGAGCTACAGTCACATTTAAAGAACACATCTTTAAAAGCATACCTGACTGAGTATTTACAGTGTATACAGTGCAGTCAGTTGATCCTGACTGTGTGTGTGTGCGTCCCTGCCTGCCTGTGTGTGTGTCTCCCTCTCTCCTCTATAGACGAGCCCATCACTCCCCAGTCTCCCAGTAATGACAGCATGCCCAGCTACTGCAGGAACGAGGAGGGGGACATCTTCCTGGCAGCAGAGTCCTGGAAGCCCAACACCTGCTCCAGCTGTGTGTGTCTGGATGGACAGATCAGCTGCTTCTCAGAGTCCTGCCCACCCGTTGGCTGTGCCAGGCCCGTGCTGCGTAAAGGACAGTGCTGCCCCTATTGCCTCGGTATGCTGAACACATGCAGGGACACCCACACACACACACACACACAGATAATTGGACCTACCTGTACTATAGACAATGTGGGGAGATAAGCTGAGTAAGCAGGTTTTACTATCCTTGTGGGGACCAGAATTTCGCCAGTCCCCACAAGGGAAAAGGCTATTCTAGTCTTAGTGGTTAGGTTTAGGGTTACAATTAGGGGTAGGGTTACAATTAGGGTTAGGAGTTAGGGTTAGGGGTTAAGGTTAGGATTAAGTTAAGGGTTAGGGAATAAACCTAACCCTAAAATGTTTGGTCCCCACAAGGATAGTAAAACAAACATGTGCGTGTGTGCTTGCGTGCATATGCATGTTTGTGTGTGTGTGTGTATGTGTGTCTGCGTGTGTGTCTGTGTTTGCGTGTTTACTGAATGAGTATCTTCCATATGTTTACCTGTCTCCGAGGATCCTATTTGATCTTCTCCTGTGTCTCCTGACAGATGCCACACCGCGAGCCGTGTGCCACTTCAATGGGAAGACGTATGCGGACGAGGAGCGCTGGGACATAGACAGCTGTACACACTGCTACTGCCTTCAGGGACAGACCCTCTGCTCTACTGTCAGCTGCCCCGCCCTGCCATGCCACCAACCCACCATAGTGGAGGGCAGCTGCTGCCCCATGTGTGCAGGTGTGTGTGTGTGTGTGTGTGTGTGTGTGTTGTGTGTGTTGTGTGTGTGTGTGTGTGTGTGTGTGTGTGTGTGTGTGTGTTGTTGCCGTTCACTCTAATTGCCTCTAATGAATTCCACACTTACACACACACACACACACACAAACACACAACACACACACACACACACACACACACACACACACGCCCTTGCAAAATGTGAATTGTCTGGTCATCAATATTACTGCTATTTATACCATAGCATTGTTGAATACTCATTTCTGATTGGCTTTAAAGGCATTCTAGAGCGTGCATTATTTCCATATAGCACACGGTATATCAGCACGGTAGAATTCAATGGCTATATTTCATTCTTACATGTTCTATGTTTGAGCTGCTTTTGAAAGCAAAAGTCGAATTGAAAACATTATTAGCATTGTTGAATAATAGCAAGCTAGGACTGAAGATTTGGTTAGCTAAACTAACAAGTCTGTTTGTTTGGTTACCAAGGCAACTACTGGAGCTATCTATAAACTTGCCAGCTACTTCAGTGGATGTTGAATACATTTCTACCTGTAAATGAACACATTTCTAGCGGCAAATGTGTTAAATTATAACCATGGTATAAAAGGGATAATCAACTCAGAGCTCTATGCGTTCTCTGGAAAATAATACAACTCTGTGGAATAGCCCCTCGTTGATTATCCCGAACATATTCCCTTCACTATTTTGAAAGGACTATAAAAGAGTGCAGATGTCCTCCCATTGTTGCTATGTATTCACACCATGTCCCTTAAATATTTATTTGGTTGACTGTTAAGTAATGAGTTGTAATTGAGGAGGACAACCACAGCAAACACACCTTCATTGATATTAATAATTTAATGGAGGGATTAGGGTTTTACTGGGCTGTGTGGTGAATTAACATGCTTTGCTAAGGCTAGATAATAGCATTGATCATAGCTCCCGCTCTGTTCTCTATGTCACCGCTCAGCCCTGGATCGATGAGATGCAGCAGTAGTGTAATTATAAAACTCAGAGCAGAGCTCTGTGGAGAACTCCACTGCCCGTAATTCACACCAGCTGGGTTCAAATACTATTAGAAATCATTTAAAATACTTTATCTACACTTGATTGAGCTTGGCTGACTTAATGGAACCAATAGTAGTGCCGAAAGTGAAAATCCCACCCACCCACCTGGCACTCTAGGCAGACTAGAGTAAAGCACAAAGTATTTGAAAGAAAACAAACCCTATTAAACCCAGGTCTGCTGCACTGCCCGCATAATGGCAGCCATGGTTGTGGAGCCTAACAATAGCTGGTTGAACAGTTGGAGAAGAGGGCCCACAAGATGAGACTGGGTAATTTAATCCCTAGATGTGATTGGGTGGCAATGAAATGCAAAACATCCCCTCTTTTCTCAAAGTCAGGCTCAATTAATGAAAAGCCAAAGGTCACTCACCACTCACTGTTATTTCAACACCTCTTATTATTAGTATTCCTCTCTCTCTCTCTCTCTCTCTCTCTCTCTCTCTCTCTCTCTCTCTCTCTCTCTCTCTCTCTCTCGTCTTTTCCTAATCACGTGTTTCCATATTATGTTACCTCATAGAGATGTACGCACCAGCCCCCACCAACGTGCCAATCGAGAAGACAGACCAGCACGGAGACAGGAAGCAGCACCAGCCTGTCTGGCCCACACGCAGTGAGAACGACATCATGCCCCAGTTCAGAGGTCAGATTTAAAATCAAACACTTCCTGGTCTGTCATGCTGCTAAAAAAGCTCCCCTACTCCCTAACACACACACACCCCAAACAATTGATTCCCATTCAAAATGCTATTTTCCCTAACCTTAACCCGTAGCCCTAAAGCCTAACCCTAAACCTAACCCCTAACCCTAATTCTACCCCTAATTGTAACCCTAACCCTAAACTTAACCCCTAAGCCTAAAATAGCCCCTTTCATTGTGGGGACCAGCAAAATGTCCCCACTTGTCCGAATTTTCCTTGTTTTACTATCCTTACGAGGATTTTTGGTCCCCACAAGGATAATGAAACAAACACACACACACACACACACACACACACACACACACACACACACACACACACACACACAGATACTGTCATGGTTCCTGTGGGGTAAAATGACATTATGAAGGGCAGCTCAGAACAGCTGAAGATGGATTTTAAAGAACTGATTGGGTTCCTACTTGACACCAACAAATGCCACATAATATCTGGCCCTCTGCCCTCTCTAAATCGTGGCATTGAATGGTTCAGCAGACTTTTAGCCCTCCATAACTGGCTACGAGACTATTGTAGCTCTGTAGGTGTAACATTTATTGACACTTTTGATACCTTCTGGAAACAAAGCTCGTAATATAAGGAGGATGGGATCCACCCAAATCATTTGGGTTTCTGGATCCTTTCACAGCATTATAAGGCTGCGTTGTGACAATGAGTCCAGCTCATTTAATCCCTACCATTGTGTCGCTGTGTTGTCATAATTATTCAGCAAATGTACATTATCATAGGGGCGTTGGAAGACACAATGTAAATAACCTAATTTATGTCCCTCTTACTGCCCGGAATGACTCTGCTGATCCTACAGCTATTGTATGCAGTAATCATATGGCTATGAACCAGAGTAATACTGTTAGCACTGAGGTGGTGTGCCCTAGTAAGAAGTCCACTGTGTGCAGCTCACCCTGCACTAATAAAAAATTACCTGAGTATGTCTACCTCTGCTAAGCTTCCCAGTAAAGCAAGAAAAATAATCAAGCATCCCAGAAAAGTGTTAAACATAGCCCATGTTAACATATGTAGCTTAAGAAACAAGGTTCATTAAATCAATAATTTGCTAGTAACAGATGACATTCATATTCTGAAACTCACTTAGATAATACCTTTGATGATACAGTGGTAGAAATACAAGGTTATAACATTTACAGAAAATACAGAAATGCCAACGGGGCCGGTGTTGCGGTCTATATTCAGAACAACATTCCTGTAAAGCTTAGAGAGGATCTCATGTTAAATACTCTTGAAGTAATATGGCTACAGGTTCACCTGCCTCACCTAAAGCCCATTCTGGAAGGGAGCTGCGATAGACCACCAAGTGCTAACAGTCAGTATCTGGATAACATGTGTGAAATGCTTGATAATATATGTGATATCAATAGAGAGGTATACTTTCTGGGTAATTTAAATATTGACTGGCTTTCATCAGGCTGCCCACTCAAGAGAAAGCTTCAAAATGTAACTAGTGCCTGCAACCTGGTTCAGGTTATCAATCAACCTACCAGTGTAGTTACAAACAGTACAGGAATGAAATCATCAACATGTATTGATCATATCTTTACTAATGCTGCAGAAATTTGTTTGAAAGCAGTATCCAAATCCATCAGATGTAGTGATCACAGTATAGTAGCCATATCTAGGGAAACCAAAGTTCCAAAGGCTGGGCCTAATATTGTGTATAAGAGGTCATACAATAAGTTTTGTAGTGATTCCTATGTTGTTGATGTGAATAATATTTGTTGGTCTGTGGTGTGTAATGACAAGCAACCAGACGCTGCACTTGACACATTTATGAAATTGCTTATCCCAGTTACTAATAAGCATGCACCCATTAAGAAAATGACTGTAAAAACTGTTAAATCCCTGTGGATTGATGAGGAATTAAAAAATTATATGGTTGAGAGGGATGAGGCAAAAGAGATGGTAAATATGTCTGGATGTACAACCGATTGGCAAACGTACTGTAAATTGAGAAATCATGTGACTAAACTGAATAAAAAGAAGAAGAAACTACACTATGAAACATGATAAATGACAGAATGATAGTAAAAAGCTTTGGAGCACCTTAAATTAAATGGGCAAAAAGGCAAACTACGCTCCATCATTCATTGAATCAGATGGCTCATTCATCACAAAACCCACTGATATTGCCAACTACTTTAATAATTTTTTCATTGGCAAGATTAGCAAACATGACATGCCAGCAACAAACGCTGACACTACACATCCAAGTATATCTGACCACATTATGAAATTCCGTAAAGTAAGTGTGGTAGAGGTGCAAAAATTATTATTGTCGATCAACAATGACAAGCCACCGGGGTCTGACAACTTGGGTGGAAAATTACTGAGGATAATAGCGTATTTAAGCCTACTAGAAATTTGAGCATACTAGAAAGTATGTGCCCTCAGGCCTGGAGGGAAGCAAAAGTTATTCCCCTACCTAAGGATAGTAAAGTCCCCTTAACTGGCTCAAATAGCCGACCAATCAGCCTGTTATCAACCCTTAGTAAACTTTTGTAAGAAATTGTGTTTGACAAATGACTGATGATTGGCTGAGAGAAATTGATGATAAAAAGATTGTGGGGGCTGTTTTGTTAGACTTCAGTGCGGCTTTTGACATTATCCATCATAGTCTGTTGCTGGAAAAAAGTATGTGTTATGGCTTTGCACCCTCTGCTATATTGTGGATAAAGAGTTATCTGTCTAACAGAACACAGAGGGTGTTCTTTAATGGAAGCCTATCCAACAAAATCCAGGCATAATCAGGAATTCCCCAGGGCAGCTGTCTAGGCCCCTTACTTTTTTCAATCTTTACTAACGACATACCACTGGCTTTGAATAAAGCCAGTGTGTCTATGTATGTGGATGTACAGCGACTGAAATGACAGCAACACTTAACAAAGAGCTGCAATTAGTTTCAGAATGGGTGGCAAGGAATAAGTTAGTCCTAAATATTTCAAAAACTAAAAGCATTGTATTTGGGACAAATAATTTACCAAACCCTAAACCTCAACTAAATCTTGTAATGAATAATGTGGAAATTGAGCAAGTTGAGGAGACTAAATTGCTTGGAGTAACCCTGGATTGTAAACTGTCATGGTCAAAACATATTGATACAACAGTAGCTAGGATGGGGAGAAGTCTGTCTATAATAAAGCGCTGCTCTGCATTCTTAACAGCACTATCAACAAGGCAGGTCCTACAGGCCCTAGTTTTGTCACACCTGGACTACTGTTCAGTCGTGTGGTCAGGTGCCACAAAGACGGACTTAGGAAAATTGCAATTGGCTCAGAACAGGGCAGCACGGCTGGCCCTCGGATGTACACAGAGAGCTAACATTAATAATATGCATGTCAATCTCTCCTGGCTCAAAGTGGAGGAGAGATTGACTTCGTCACTACTTGTATTTGTGAGAGGTATTGACATGTTGAATGCACCGAGCTGTCTGTTTGAACTACTGGCACACAGCTCAGACACCAATACATACCCGACAAGACATGTCACCAGAGGTCTCTTCACAGTCTCCAAGTCAAGAACAGACTATGGGAGGCGCACAGTACTACATAGAGCCATGACTACATGGAACTCTATTTCATATCAAGTAACTCATGACAGCAGTAAAATTAGATTAAAAAAACAGATAAAAATACACCTTATGGAACAGAGGGGACTGTAAAGCAACACAAACATACAGTGAGGGAAAAAGGTATTTGATCCCCTGCTGATTTTGTATGTTTGCCCACTGACAAAGACATGATCAGTCTATAATTTTAATGGTAGGTTTATTTGAACAGTGAGAGACAGAATAACAACAAAGAAATCCAGAAAAACTCATGTCAAAAATGTTATGAATTGATTTGCATTTTAATGAGGGAAATAAGTATTTGACTCCTCTGCAAAACATGACTTGGTACTTGGTGGCAAAACCCTTGTTGGCAATCACAGAGGTCAGACGTTTCTTGTAGTTGGCCACCAGGTTTGCACACATCTCAGGAGGGATTTTGTTCCACTCCTCTTTGCAGATCTTCTCCAAGTCATTAAGGTTTCGAGGCTAACGTTTGGCAACTCGAACCTTCAGCTCCCTCCACAGATTTTCTATGGGATTAAGGTCTGGAGACTGGCTAGGCCACTCCAGGACTTTAATGTGCTTCTTCTTGAGCCACTCCTTTGTTGCCTTGGCCGTGTGTTTTTGGGTCATTGTCATGCTGGAATACCCATCCACGACCCATTTTCAATGCCCTGGCTGAGGGAAGGAGGTTCTCACCCAAGATTTGACGGTACATGGCCCCGTCCATCGTCCCTTTGATGCAGTGAAGTTGTCCTGTCCCCTTATCAGAAAAACACCCCCAAAGCATAATGTTTCCACCTCCATGTTTGACGGTGGGGATGGTGTTCTTGGGGTCATAGGCAGCATTCCTCCTCCTCCAAACACGGCGAGTTGAGTTGATGCCAAAGAGCTCGATTTTGGTCTCATCTGATCACAACACTTTCACCCAGTTCTCCTCTGAATCATTCAGATGTTCATTGGCAAACTTTAGACGGGCATGTATATGTGCTTTCTTGAGCAGGGGGACCTTGCGGGCGCTGCAAGATTTCAGTCCTTCACGGCGTAGTGTGTTACCAATTGTTTTCTTGGTGACTATGGTCCCAGCTGCCTTGAGATCATTTACAAGATCCTCCCGTGTAGTTCTGGGCTGATTCCTCAACGTTCTCATGATCATTGCAACTCCACGTGGTGAGATCTTGCATGGAGCCCCAGGCCGAGGGAGATTGACAGTTCTTTTGTGTTTCTTCCATTTGCGAATAATCAAACCAAATGTTGTCACCTTCTCACCAAGCTGCTTGGCGATGGTCTTGTAGCCCATTCCAGCCTTGTGTAGGTCTATAATCTTGTCCCTGACATCCTTGGAGAGCTCTTTGGTCTTGGCCATGGTGGAGAGTTTGTAATCTGATTGATTGATTTCTTCTGTGGACAGGTGTCTTTTATACAGGTAACAAGCTGAGATTAGAAGCACTCCTCCCTTTCCCATCTTTCTGATTGAGAGGGAGTCAAATACTTATTTCCCTCATTAAAATGCAAATCAATTTATAACATTTTTGACATGCGTTTTTCTGGATTTTTTTGTTGTTATTCTGTCTCTCACTGTTCAAATAAACCTACCATTAAAATTATAGACTGATCATTTCTTTGTCAGTGGGCAAACATACAAAATCAGCAGGGGATAAAATACTTTTTTCCCTCACTGTAGACACATGCATACAAACACTTGATAACATACGCACTATACACATATGTACACATGGATTTTGTATTATAGATATGTGGTAGTAGAGTAGAGGCCTGAGGGCACACACTTAATATGTTGTGAAATCTGTTATGAATGTATTGTAACGTTTTTAAAATGTATAACTGCCTTAATTTTGCTGGACCCCAGGAAGAGTTTATTATAATACAAAAAACAAATACAAATACATACTTGTCATATCACCATCATTAGCAGGTGCAGTGGTGGAGAGGAATCTAGAGTGTCTGTCTCCATGGTGCAGCTGTAGCTGCTAAATGTTTTTGCAGGCGTCCATATGTATCTCTTCATCCTGGAACAGAGTCTGCTGTTTCCTTTTAACTGCAATCTAGGGACTGATTCAATTATCCATAACTCTGCTATGCCAAGACGTGTCTAGTGTTGTTGGAGTGTTGCTGGTTAGGATACCACATTATTGTTCAGTTTCTAGCACACTTACGTTTTGAAGTGATACACATACCATGTGAGATTGCTGTATCGTCCTCAAGGTTACAACAGCAGTTTCTTAAGACATAAAAAAGTATTTTCTGAAATCCTACACGGCATCTACCAATGGTATGAGGATTATATATAAACATCCCAACATCCCATTATACAGACAGGTTTTGTGTCTCATAATGTTTGTGTGCTCCCTATGTCACAGGGGACTTTGGTAGTCTCCAAATGCCCTATCTAGATGGGAAGACCCCAGTTCCCAGTGAGGACACCACACTGCACTCTGTGGCATGGGTGGCACTGCCCATCGTCATGATGCTGTTCACCATCACAGCTCTGCTCTACGTCAACCAGAAGAAGCAGTGGATCCCTGTGCTCTGCTATCGCACCCCCACTAAGGTAGGGGGAGACATTACCCATATTTACAGTGCATTCGGAAAGTATTCAGACATTTACATTTTAGTCATTTAGCAGACGCTCTTATCCAGAGCGACTTACAGTTAGTGAGTGCATACATTTTCATACTGGCCCCCCGTGGGAAACGAACCCACAACCCTGGCGTTGCAAGCGCCATGCTCTACCAACTGCGCTACAGGGGGGACAGACCCCTTGACTTTTTCCACATTTTGTTACGTTACAGCCTTATTCTAAAATGGATTAAATAGTTTTTTTTCCCTCATCAATTTACACAAAATACCTCATAATGACAAAGCAAAAACATGTTTTTAGAAATTTTAGCAAATGTATTAAAAATACAAAATGGTAATATCACATTTACATAAGTATTCAGACCCTTTACTCAGTACTTTGTTCAAGCACCTTTGGCAGCGATTACAGCCTCGAGTCTTCTTGGGTATGACGCTACAAGCTTGGCACACCTGTATTTGGGGAGTTTCTCCCATTCTTCTCTGCAGATCCTCTCAACCTCTGTCATGTTGGATGGGGAGCGTCGCTGCGTCGCTGCACAGCGATCGGGTTCAAGTCCGGGTTCTGGCTGGGCCACTCAAGGACATTCAGAGACTTGTCCCGAAGGCACTCCTGTGTTGTCTTGGCTGTGTGCTTCGGGTTGTTGTCCTGTTGGAAGGTGAACCTTCGTCCCAGTCTGAGGTCCTGAGCGCTCTAGAGCAGTATTTCATCAAGGATCTCTCTGTACTTTGCTCCGTTCATCTTTCCTCGATCCTGACTAATCTCCCCTGCCGCTGACAGCCATCCCCACAGCATGATGCTGCCACCACCATGCTTCACCGTAGGGATGGTGCCAGGTTTCTTCCAGACGTGAGGCTTGGCATTCAGGCCAAAGACTTCAATCTTGGTTTCATCAGACCAGAGAATCTTGTTTCTCATGGTCTGAGAGTCCTTTAGGTGCCTTTTGGCAAACTCCAAGCGGGCTGTCATGTGCCTTTTACTGAGGAGTGGCTTCCGTCTGTCCACTCTACCATAAAAGCCTGATTGGTGGAGTGCTGCAGAGATGGTTGTCCTACTGGAAGGTTCTCCCATCTCCACAGAGGAGCTCAGGAGCTCTGTCAGAGTGACCATCGGGTTCTTGGTCACCTCCCTGACCAAGGCCATTCTCCCCCGATTGCTCAGTTTAACCAGGCGGCCAGCTCTAGGAAGAGTCTTGGTGGTTCCAAACTTCTTCCATTTAAGAATGTTAGAGGCCGGTCTCCCGAGTGGCGCAGCGGTCTAAGGCAGTGCATCGCACGCAGTGCATCGCAGTGCTTGAGGCATCACTACAGACCCGGGTTCGATCCCAGGCTGTGTCATAACTGGCCGTGACCGGGAGTCCAATAGGGCGGCACACAATTGGCCCAGCGTCATCCGGGTTAGGGGAGGGTTTGGCCGGGGAGGCTTTACTTGGCTCATCGCGCTCTAGCGACTCCTTGTGGCTGGCCGGGCGCCTGTAGGCTGACTTCGGTCGTCAGTTGAACGGTGCAGTTGGCTTCCGGATTAAGCGGGCAGGTGTTAAGGAGCACAGTTTGGCGGGTCATGTTTCGGAGGGCGCATGACTCGACCCTCGCCTCTCCCGAGCCCATTGGGGAGTAGCAGCGATGAGACAAGATCATAATTGGATCGCAATTGGATATCAGGAAATTGGGGAGAATACAGGTGGTAAAAAATATATATAACAATGATGGAGACCACTGTGTTCTTGGGGACCTTCAATGCTGTAAAAAATGTTGGTACCCTTCCCCAGATCTGTGCCTTGACACAATTCTGTCTCAGAGCTCTATGGACAATTCCTTCGACCTCATGGCTTGGTTTTTGCTCTGACATGCACTGTCAACTGTGGGACCTTATATAGACAGGTGTGTGCCTTTCCAAATAATGTCCAATCAATTTAATTTACCACAGGTGGACTCCAATCAAGTTGTAGAAACAGCTCAAAGATGATCAATGTAAACAGGATGCACCTGAGCTCAATTTCGAGTCTCATAGCAAAGGGTCTGAATACTTATGTAAATAAGGTATTTCTGTTTTTAATTTTTTATAAATTTGCAAACAATTCTAAAAACCTGTTTTCGCTTTGTCATTATTATTGTGTGCAGATTGATGAAGACATGTTTTTATTTAATCAATTTTAGAATAAGGCTGTAACGTAACAAAATGTGGAAAAAGGGAAGGGGTCTGAATACTTTCCGAATGCACTGTATGCCTGGTTGGTTTCTGTACTACTTTACTGCAGGCTGTGTGCTGTTGTTCTAGTATAGTTGACGGTATAAAACGCCAGAGAATATCATATCAGCAGCTTATGGGGAAGCATACTTGATCAATATCTATACTTTTGAATATAGAACTAATTGAATGTCAAAAAATATTACTATTACATAGAAATATTACATTGCCTAGCTATATAGTAATGATGAGCAGGAGATGCTGCTTGTACTGTATTTATACAGCCTGAGAAGAGCCTTATTAAGAAATATAATATAATATGAATATACAAATAATATCCATATCTAAGGCTCTGAGCCTAACTAGATTGTGATCTCTGGAGGTAACTAAATGTGTGTGTGTGTGTCCTCTATAGCCCACCTGCCTCAACAACCAGCTGGTGTATGTGGGCTGCCAGAAAGGTACCAAGGTGCAGGTGGACAGTTCCCAACGCATGCTCCGGATCGCCGACCCTGACTCTAGGTACAGCGGTTACTACAGTATGCAGAAACAAAACAACTTCAACAACCTGCAGGCCGACAACTTCTACCAGACTCAGTGAGACAGAGAGACTGGCATCGCCTCGCGTCCTGTACTCAGCAGTCAGCAAGCAGCCAAAACCAGAGAGAGAGAGAATGAGAGAGCACCTTACCTACAGTACCGTCACAACAACTATGACTTACCACAGACGGACAGACAAATGTCACCAAACCTATAAGATGAGAAAATAACTAGCAAACTAGCAAAGATCACTCCAAACAAAAAAAGAACTGACATATCAAACTAGCAAAGATCACTCCAAACAAAAAAAGAACAGACAGACAATTGACAGTCTCCTGAAGATGAAAAACAAACCAAACAAAATAGAATAGGATTATGATGATTTGAAACTATAGCTAACACAATGGGAGAACCAGAATCTAGACTTTCCCTAGATTATTATTATACTGCGAGTGAGTGTTACAAGTGTGTTTGGTGTGTGTGGTGGAGGCATGCGCATGTGTGTGTGTGTGTGTGTAAAGTTAGATATACATCTTTGGGATTAGGACAAACTGGGTATTTTTCAAGCTATGGTATTTTTCCTGCATTCCTGCTTCCTTGAAAAAGGCCTTTGAAGAGATAAACCGAATAATCCAAGCTAGTGTTTTCTGTTGAACACTGAACTTTTAGAACCAAAGCTCCTCTGACTGTCTGTAACATAAAAAACACACCCTGTGAGAGAGAGGCTAGAGGAACTTTATGGCCTGTCTGAGCTGAGCTAAACCATGGCAGGACGGACTGACTGCCGGACTTTATGTGGCGCTCAGACGAAAGAGCGAGAACAAGAAAAAGAAAGAGAGGTCAGATACTGTAGACCCCGTCACAGACAGAACTCAACTGAACACCTCTCTCAGGTCTGTTCAAGCTGGACTATTCCTCCTTTGAAAACATCAAAATTGCCTTGTTGTCTTTTCTTTTCCTGTGGAACGTCACCTGTTGGAAGGAAGTGGAAAGAAAGAAGAAGAAGCGTCACTCACTCCATCACCAGGCTGTTGTTCTCCCTGGTCTGTAGTTTGGATTTGTAATATGTTTCTTTTTGTTAGATTTTCTTATTTTCCTTGTCACTTTCAAATCTACATAATCTTTTGGCAAAATGTATTTAACATCAAAGGGGAGGTTTACTCTCACTTTCACACACTCCAAACAATGGTGTCTTTTATTTGGATAAAGAATAAAGGGGTTCAGGTTGATAAAGGCAGAATTAAGCTAGTGTGTTTCTTGAGGACTTCAGCATATGCTTTACAAGTGCTACTTTGTTTCTGTAAGTCCCGTTTTCCACTGAGTCACACATACATAGAGATACTCTTTAGCTCCTTTAGGAAACACTGAGAATACAAGGAAATGTAGTATCAAAGAATATATTCAAATGTATTTTCTCTTGGGGTCTCTGATGACGAGCTACGGTAAAGTAGCTCTTTGATATTTTTCTCCTCCTTTTGTTTTGTTTTACTGGCTGTGAGACTAACAGTCTCCTCTTCTGGAGGCTGTTGCATCACGTAATATTACCCAAGCACCTTTGTGTTCTTTTATTCTTTGCATAAATTGGTTTAAAACATTATAGGAACACTTATGTACATATTACTGAAAAAGACATGAAATATTGTGTGACTATATGTGTATGTGTGTATGTATGTTGTGTATGCATGTATGTACGTGTGTTAACACACATGCATACATACAATATTTGTTTTCTTCACATGTACATTTCTTCATTAATTTCCTATTGAATGTATTTATGATTGAGAAAAGAGATGTGATCTAATAATGGAAAACATGATGAGAACAAGCATTCCATTTGCCTTGCTTGTTTGAAAAAGGTCAGAAAGAGGAGTGATAGAGACAGGACAGAAAAAAGGCGAACACCAATCTTTTTTTTCTCATTTATTTGATGTCAGTTTCATTTTCTTTTTCAAAAAACCCATTGTATGTCCATGAGGGCTTTGTTTGATTGGTCTGTGAGTTCCCTATCTATTTGTGTCAATCTGCTTCCCTGAATGAAGCAATGTCCAAAATGCCAACCATATAATGACAAGTGAGTTCTGGGCTGAGCAGTACCAGGCTCTCTCAATCTTTTATTCTTCTCTTTCATTCGCTTTGGATGTCAGAACTACTGGAAAGTGGGTGGACATAAGCTCTGGGAGAGAGGGTGGGATGGAAGGATGGAGGAAGGGAGGGGTAGTAGTCGACTTGTGATAGTTTGACTTGGGTGTATCTTAATCTGTCTGACATAAATGTAAGTAGAATCATACATCTGGGCACTTTTATATAGAAAATAACCTATTTTCATTGAAAGAGTTGCCCTTAGTTTTTTTCTGAGCCCTGTGAGATCCAGTGTTACGATTAGGTTCCAATTGCTTCTGAATATTTGATCTACAAAACCACAACTTAAAACGCTGCATACTTGTTGTTTAATGTAGAACTGTAAAAACAAGAGACTAGGTATAATCCTACAGAGCCAAATCATAGTTACTGTATACAGGCACTGCATTTCTGTTTATAGGTCAGTATTTCTGACAGGGGTGCAACTTTCACTGGGGAAATCGCATTTTTGTCCCCCCCAAGTTTAATTTTTTATTGGAATGTGATACAAAACAAGGCAACGGTGTGCTTTAGGACCATGCGGACGCCTCCGAGCGGTCGGTTAGGCTGTTTGTAGTGTTTATCCGACTGGATTATTATTTATTTTTAAATAAAGATGTCCCCCCCACCTCTAAAACTAAAGTTGCGCCGCTGATTTCTGACAAGAGCGGGAGGGAGAAATATTTAACTTTCAAAAAAGTAATTGCAGCTGAAGCTTGCTCTTGTTCTATGTTTTCTCCAAACATAGGAAAAACATCAAATCTACTGTATAACCAACAGGTACTGTATGTTTCAAAGAACAGTTGATTGGTTTGATTCTCCGACCATTATATGCAGGTCTATCATCTGGACACAAACCACATTATTCAAACCCGATTTAAATCCACATAAGTTGAGATCGTTGAAGTGATGAATAATAGATTTGATTAAGGACCATAAGTTCTATTATACTCGCATCACATTGACTGGCTGAGTTCTTATATGACTTGGCTGTAGGTTGCAGGATGTGGCACTACAACTCCTATGGTTGAGTAAAGTGCTGCTACAGAATATGCATCTTATTCACAATGGGTCTTACAGGGTGAAATCTTTGTATTTTTCAGTGCATCCTCCAAGTATTGTTGTAAATACTTGAGTATCACTTGCCAAAACAAAAATAAACACACAAAAAACATGGTTGGAAAGAAAGAGAAAAAAATATGATTTAATTTATTGTGTTAAATGACCGAAATAATTTATTAATGAGCAAGGTAATTGAACATGAACATAATATGAGCTTAAATGATAATGCAGCTGAAATTGTGAAACTGTTTTGGTGTTGTGTTGGTCTCAGAGAGCGTTTAAATAAGGTTGTACTTTAGGCAGGTGGAGAAGTTGGAGGATCACAAGCTTCCCCATCTTTAATCAGGGTTGTTGGTCACGTATGGACCTGCCTTAACCTGATCCCAGATCTGTTTGTGCTGTCTTGCCAACTCCTTTGGACATTGTCATGCACTTTGACTGTCACGCAGTGTGACAACGACCATAGGAGTTGGCTAGCTAAACAACACGAACAGATCTGGGATCAGGCTAGATCTGCCTTGTCCAAGCACAAAAGCCTGACGACCTGATGAGCCTGTTCCTCTGTTCCAATAAAGATAGGCCTTTGAGATGGGAGTGATATCTCTTTGTCCCCATTCTTTCCCTTTACTCCTTTAATTGACACAACTACCAATCCCCTTTATAGGCTGTATATTACTGTTGTTTCATGCTTATGTAAAAATAAAAATATGTTGATATTGATAATGATGATATTGCAAAAACAAGATTCATAAAGAGGATAGATGAAGATTTGACTCTGAATTTCCCGTAGCACAGCAGATTATTTTGCAAGTTCTTGTATTGTTTTTGTTTGTTTCTTTGCAGCACAATAAATAATTTGAAAACAGACGTGTGGCTGTTCAGTACAATCATTATTAGTATTAATAGTACTGGTGTTGTCATTCTTACCTCTCTGGGAATTTGACCCCAACCTGTCCATCTCCTCTGAACCCACAGTGATTTCTGCCTCAAACAGAAAATGTCGAAAAGCTGCGCATTTCTCTTATTTTCTGCTTGAGGCAGAAATCACTGTGTGTTCAGATGAAGACTAGAGGATAGATTCAATCAAATAAATGTTTTCAAGAGGTACAAAAGCATGATTCCAAATACAGCACTTTGAAAAGACACCTATAGGTCAACCCATATAGCGAGCACTGACTCAGTAAATGGGCTGAATGCTATAGTACCAAAACCTTTTATCAGACCCAGCCAGCCAGCTGAGGCAGATAAATAATGTGTGACCCACTTCCAGTTGTCTGCTAAGTGATACCTGGCCCTGAATGGCTCAGTAAGTAAGAGTAGCGCAAGGTTGAGGGTTCAACTCCCGCAGGGATCACATACACATACTACAAATGTATGCACTCACTGTTCTGTAAGTCGCTTTGGATAGAAGTGTCCGCTAAGTGGCATTTATTTTTTATATAATTTTTCTACGTCAAATCAAATCAAATTTTATTTGCCACAAGCGCCGAATACAACAGGTGTAGACATTACAGTGAAATGCTTACTTACAAGCTCTTAACCAACAATGCATTTTTTTATTTTTTAAGAATAAAAACAAATAACTAAAGAGCAGCAGTAAAATAACAGTAGGGAGGCTATATACAGGGGGTACCGGTACCGAGTCAATGTGCGGGGGCACCAGTTAGTCGAGGTAATTGAGGTAATATGTAGATGTAGGTAGAGTTATTAAAGTGACTATGCATAAATAATAGACAGAGTAGCAGCAGCGTAAAAGAGGGGGATAGGGTGGGGGTGGGGTGGACAATGCAAATAGTCCAGGTAGCCATGATTAGCTGTTCAGGAGTCTTATGGCTTGGGGGTAGAAGCTGTTGAGAAGCCTTTTGGACCTACAGTGATGGAGAAAAGTATTTGATCCCCTGCTGATTTTGTACGTTTGCCCACTGACAAAGAAATGATCAGTCTATAATTTTAATGGTAGGTTTATTTGAACAGTGAGAGACAGAATAACAACAAAAAAATCCTGAAAAACGCATGTCAAAAATGTTATAAATTTATTTGCATTTTAATGAGGGAAATAAGTATTTGACCCCTCTGCAAAATATGACTTAGTACTTGGTGGCAAAACCCTTGTTGGCAATCACAGAGGTCAGACGTTTCTTGTAGTTGGCCACCAGGTTTGCACACATCTCAGGAGGGATTTTGTCTCACTCCTCTTTGAAGATCTTCTCCAAGTCATTAAGGTTTCAAGCCTGACGTTTGGCAACTCGAAACTTCAGCTCCCTCCACAGATTTTCTATGGAATTAAGGTCTGGAGACTGGCTAGGCCACTCCAGGACCTTAATGTGCTTCTTCTTGAGCCACTCCTTTGTTGCCTTGGCCGTGTGTTTTGGGTCATTTTCATGCTGGAATACCCATCCACGACCCATTTTCAATGCCCTGGCTGAGGGAAGGAGGTACTCACCCAAGATTTGATGGTACATGGCCCCGTCCATCGTCCCTTTGATGCGGTGAAGTTGTCCTGTCCCCTTAGCAGAAAAACACCCCCAAAGCATAATGTTTCCACCTCCATGTTTGACGGTGGGGATGGTGTTCTTGGGATCATAGGCAGCATTCGTCCTCCTCCAAACACGGCGAGTTGAGTTGATGCCAAAGAGCTCGATTTTGGTCTCATCTGACCACAACACTTTCACCCAGTTCTCCTCTGAATCATTCAGATGTTCATTGGCAAA